TACAATTGATTTAAATCGATGCCTTTGAGTTCTTTATGTTAAAGTTACAGTGATGAAAGGGGATCAATAAACCGTTATCGAGAAAGACTCGATGGAGCCAGTGTAGTCTGAATACGAGTGTTTTACGGGGCTAATTTAACGCAGCTGTTACCAAAATCAACAGATCAAAAGACTAAAAGTATTAACTGTTTTTTGTGACCTTAAACCAGTATTATTGAGTGTGCTAAACATTGTACCGAATTTATTGTCAAGTGGCAAATTTTCGCTTATGGTCCAACTCTGAAATTCTAATTTCATGACAAAAGACAGCAAACGCCTTCAAGACAAATGCTTAGGATGATTAAGATGAAAACGAACTAATAACGATCACGGCTCATCGATATCAAAGGTTAATAACAAAACTTGAAAGTAAGGGAAGGTATTATGAGTATTCCACTGCCCGTGTTACGCCTTTTTAATCTGTACATAATGTTTTCAGTCCGAGAAAAATGCAAAAGTAATACAGTGATCTAATTTTCGTTTGTAGAATAAGGTGATAAGAACACTAGCGATCAACAAGTTCAATTATCTTGATACGTACCTGCGTTATGTTTCACCGATTCAGGGGATAATCTGCAGTATTTTTTCGTTATTTCAGTATGGATAGGTTGTCTGGCCCGCCATGCCAAAGCGACAAACAACCCTCCTTTTTTGCCTCGAATCCGCGTTTTTGACCTAAAATGTCTAGAGTGCTTAAAAGGTGAATAATTCAAGTCAGTAAGACAAACACAAGCTGTGAATGACATGTCAGGCTACAATTTTAATTTCAATAACGCTGAGAGCTTCTTAGAGCTTTTAGTCTCTTCACTTACAACGCATAGGTGTTATATTGACAACCAAGTTTCTTCCTTCCATTTACATCTTTTACTAATTGTTTTGTCGCTAATTACCGTAACCTACTTTCCGGAATTCTGTCTCACCTATTGGTGAGAGTACAAACATACATTGCTGACTCAGCACATTTTTATTTAATGAGGAACGTTGAAAACAAAAGAATATTATCTGAAATCGTGGTCTGTATCGCACCTGCTTTCGACTTCATTAGATTATTGCTCGAGATTGCCTCACATCCACACTGGATTACATTTAATTCAAATGCGAATTGTCAGCTGTAAAAAGGACTATGGGGGATACCATAAAGCAACATTAGGGGACTTAAAGGCTTGGGTTTCACTAGCGCATAAGAATAGGCATAAGCCGACATACACAGAAGCAGTAAGATGTTGATAATAGCAGATTTGCACGTTGGCGTTATTTGACTACAACTACCAGAATTGATTTGAGTTTTTCTTATTATTTATATTTTGAATTCCTAGTGGGATTTAAATAACAATTTCCCTTATTAGAATAAGAGACAGAAAAGTGAAGGATTCTGGTAGTTGTAGTCAAATGACGCCATCATGCAAATCGCCTATTAGCGTCTTTTATTTGGGAAATTTCAAACAAAAGGCGCTAATTATCAACATCTTACTGAGTCTGCGTATGTGCATCTTACTGAGTCTGCGTATTATATTTTTTTTTATTGGGATTGAACAAGTTTTTAAACAGATCGATGTGCTGAACAGATCTAAATATTTGCGAAATTCAAATGGTAAAATAATATGCAGACTTACCCAAACGTAAATGCGGAGCTCCTGGTCCGCATTGTTCAAAGCCCGATTAGGCTAACCCAATTTTGTTTGAGAAGTTTGAGAATTTGAAAATTGAGAATTTTGATTTGAGTTTTGTAATTTTTCGGTGAACTTTTCTGTTTATATTTTGGCCTTCTCACGGTTTTAATTTTGAATGATCTCAAACTACACAAACATTTGTATATTTAAAGACTTCGGTTAACTTTTAATTCTGGGTTACCGTTAACCCAATTTCCGAACAACCCGGTTCTCATTACAACAAATTAACCTGACATTAGTCCGCGATCCAATCGAAGTGGATGTCAAATATCAAAAACGTACGCCGTAAACCAGAACTTGGCATTAGTTGGAGTGTGGCCGCCATGTTGTGCGACGTCGTCGTCGTCGTCGTTGGGCTCACGCGCCCGCGATCCATGCCGCTAGCCATATTAACCACGAAAAAAGAGTTGCATGGGTTTTCATTCTGGTGCATGCATGTGGTTCTGTTCCTATAGTTATGGTGCGTCGCTTGGCGGCTCCTCGGGCCGCCGGAGCTCTGCTATAAATCCCTTTTAATTGGACGTCGTCCTTGGCGCTGCCGTCTTCATTGCTTAAGGTGCCTTTGTAATTTGCTGCTTCCGGTGCTGCGATCGGTGGTAGACATTCGTTGAGACATCTGTTACTGTTACTGTTAAGTTTCTTTTTATCCCATCGCTTGTTTTCTGAAATGAATTTTGGTGGCTTCTGTCCACCCTCATCAGAGTTGCAATGTTAAGGTTCGTTGAAGGCGGCGCTTTCCAAAGTTGACAACTTTGCACAGCGCCGCTGTCAACGAGAGGAAACCGCTCCCTCGCGCTTACTTACTGTTGATTTAAAAAAAAAAGAAAATCAACAAAACGACATCACCCGCAGGCTTGCGGCATGAGCAGTAACGAACCTTAATTAACATTGCAACTCTTTTGAAGGTGGACAATAGTCGCCGAAAATTCAATACAGAAAAAAAAAAAA